TATATCAAGTGTTATGTGAGTATAGTTTTATATAGTCAAGTGGTTATCATGTTGGAAATGATTCGCACATGAAAATATCAGTGCGAGACCCGGGATTTGAACCCGCGTCACTCGTCTTCCCAAGCAAGCGCGTTGCTGGGCTTTCAAGAAATTTGATATTATATTAAAAAAAAGTTAAAAAAAAACTTGTTGGTATAGGCTTAGATTTGTCATTTGTTTGACTTTTAAAATACGAAACAGAAGGTAGGTATGTTCAACGTGTATATATTTTTTTAATATTTCACCGATTTCTCGGAGATCACTCGATCGACCAAGGTATCTTAACACCTCCAGGTAAATTTCTGAGAAATTAATTAAATTTCTAAGAAATCTATTGTTAACTGACACGCCGGCGTGTCCGCGGTCGTGGAGGGATTAAAGTGTAGTAAGGTAAGTTTAGTAAGGTAGATCATGCGATGTTCCCATGTAATTTTCTTTGACATAGAACATATTTAAAAAAAATCATAAACAATTATTATAAGTATGTATGTATATAATAGTGCCATGAACTGTGCCACTTTATCTATTCTGATGATTAAATACAGTACAACAATTGATTTTTTTGTCGAACAATTTCTCGGTGCCAGCCGACAATATTTTAAGATATGAATATCTGATAGGTAAATATGATATTTATAATGTAACTCTAATTATATCTAAAATATTATACATCAATTTGTGATATATTTTACATATCGAAATATATTAGATTTGCTTTGCATCGGCTGGCACCGACTTCCAAAATATCTGATTAGGTATCTATTCTAAATGAAAACCCCCGTTTGGTTATTTTTTACCTTTTAGTGCCTGGAAGTCGGTTTTTTTTAAGTTTTTATTTTTCCATTTTAGTGTAGACGTAATAAGCAGGTAATCTGTAAGAAGAAAGTTTTTTAATAACATATTCGATTAAGCAATTTATTTAAAACAAATAATACTTGTAGATTTTTTTAAAAACCCGCTCGACCGATTTCGATAAAATTTAAATGGGACCACCTGGGAATTATACACATTGAAACAAAAAAAATTCAAATCGGTTCAGGCGTCTTCGAGTAATCGGTGAAGATACAAAAAAAAAAGAAAAAAAAAGAATCCGATGAATTGAGAACCTCCTCCTTTTTGGAAGCCGGTTAAAAATAGAATAGAGAAATAGCAACGAAATACTGGAGAATTTTGATAATTAATTTTAATTAGAGTTGTAAAGTTTATTTTTGCAATTGTTTAATTTCAATTACTATTTTTATGATCTGTTTCCAATTTTAAGTTATCCAAAAAAACTTAATAAATCCGCGAAAGAATCCGAAAAGATAGTTATTTTAAATATCAAAAATCGCATAATGCGTAAATCTAAGAAAGTATTGTTATCTGGTCTTTATCTATTGATAAGGAAAAGAAAGAGAGCTGCAGATATAACAAACTTTATGGTAGTTGAAGTCACAGCCCTATCAAAGTGCAATAAAGTTCTGAGCAACTAAAATTGTTTACTGGCTTCGTCAGCACTATTCGTTTAGTCTAAGACAAAAGTAAAGTTACAGAAAACCGCACTGTTCCTTAGTTAGAACTTCGTAGCAATTACACAAGTTTTATACATGTTTTTATAACTACAGGGAATATTCTAAGCTTTTTTAATTTTTATTGTTAAATCTGAGACTAAAGAATTATTTAAACGGAGTCCACCAAAATGTCAAAGTCAAAAATAGTAGCGTGATTTGTTGTTTATGTTACTATTCCCGATTTTGCCATATAGATCATTTATTTACATTAAAAAATAAGGGAAATTTTAGTTATGTATTAGTTAAATTAATTTGTTTACATACAATTTTTAAGAATAAAACATAAATAATTAAAATTATACTACTATATTCTTTTGTACTTTTAAGCATTAATTCTCTTCTCTTTAAAAGAGAGATATCATAATATTAGCTTATTTAATATTTTTGATGTGAAATATCTATTGGCGCGCCTTGGCAGTAAAACCGACCCGTGGTATGACGGCAAACGGTGAAGTGACGCACGCGGTCATGCTACGAGATCATGCCCCTTCTACGGCATCGCTCTCGATTCCCTTGTGTGTACGCGCGCGTTATATAATAATTATATGTAGTTACAATTATAATAATAAAAAAAATTATTTTATTAACGAAAAACTATTTTTTCTTTATTGTACTCCATATTTCGTTACAGGTTTTATTAATTATGAATTCGAATATTAATATAGATGTTTCACATCGGCACAGCGTTTCTATTTAGATTCATGTGCCAAAGAAATAAAAATATAAGCATACACTGGAAAAACATTGTCTGAAATAAATAAACTCTCCTTTTGAGAGAGTCGGGTAAGGATGGGCATAAAAGATAAAGAAAATAAGTTGCGTATATTTTGAGAGCTGTCAACAACAATATACTGTTAAAAGTTTTAATTGTTTTACAAGTTTGAGTTATATTCTAAAGCTTAGGTTTTCATAATGATTTCTTTAGTATAATCATAAAATAATTTGTACCTAAAATATTTCTTACACAAAAGTGATGTAAGCTGTTTTATATATTTAATAAAGCCTTACAAACAAGTATAAAAACTTTTTTATTGAAAATATTAGCAATATTCCTCAGCGCTAGCTATGTGCCTTTCATAATTTATTAATTCTTGAAAATACTGAAATTTTAAATTATTTACTACAAAAGAGCACTGACTTACTACTAAATATAAGCAAGTCAGTCAGCTAAGATATGACATAAGAGTTGTATTTTTTGCTTATAGATAAACATTTTTTAGGCAACCTTCAAGCGTGTGTCAAGTAGGATATCCTCATACCGAACCGAATCGAACGGACGGTTTTTGATGAAACTTAGCACGCAGATAGACTAAGAACTGGAGTAACACATACGTTACGTTATTTTGTTAGTAATACAATTAGCCAAAAAGTGAGGCTATTGTTATATGTCTTAATATATAAAATTCCCGTGTCATGATGTTGGTCCGCGTTGAACTCCGAAACTACTTGTATTCAGCCCTTTTTATCGTCCCACTGCTGGGCACGGGCCTCCCTTCAGTACGAGGGGAATCAGGCCATGGTCCACCACGCTGGCCAAGTGCGTTTTGGCGGACTTCACATGTCTTTCGAAAACTTGCTAAGTTCTCTCAGACATGCAGGTTTCCTCACGATGTTTTCCTTCACCGTAAGGCAAGTGGTAATCATGTTAGAAATGATTCGCACATGAAAATATCAGAGGTGCGAGACCCGGGATTTGAACCCACTTCACTCGGTTTCTCAAGCGAGCGCGTTACCACTGGGCTACCACTGCCTTATCCGAACTTAAAGTATTTTTTTAATGTGTGTTTTATTCCAACTTAAAAGTATAAACTTTTTATATTTAAATTGTCATATTTATTAATTTTATAATTTAGTTTCAACTTTATTTATTACTTATTATTATTATTTAATTTTAAATTTGCATCTTGTAATTAAATGTTATTGACGTGATTTAAAAAAAAGAGCATGTTGTGATAACCTATAACTAAAAGAACATTTATGAAATTGTTAGCACATGAATATCATACCGTTTTAAATATATCTTTTGTTGGTTGTCCTTTAATAAATAAATAAATAAAGGCAGGATAGTTTATATCATGATTATTTCCTTTTTTCAATGCAATATTAGCGATTTCCATATCCGGAGAGGACTTCGGAGAAAGAACCTGAGAAACGGCTATCGGATAGTTCAAATTAAGCTTAAACCAACGTAATTTTTTTAATTTCAAATTTTATTTATTTAACATTTGAAAATAATTTGTTATAAATCTTTAAATTACGAAGTTATAAGTGTGCCACAGCAACGTGGCCGAGTCTGCTCGTAATCTTATACGTAGAAAATGCCTTGTAATAATGCTAGTACGCTGAAAGATATGAAAAAGAAAGAAAAATACGTTTTCCTATATAGGTTGCCGATATACATCTGGCTTGGATCATAAAATTTACTATCAATCGTTAAAATTCAATATCGTTGAGATATAACAATGTTGACATATCAATTTGTGAAGAAACTCCAATTATAGGAGCTGGAAATTGGAAGCATAAAAATAGCCATAAAACTTTCTACAGTAATCTATGAAATCGTTACATTTAAATGAAAAAAATATATTATATATGCTATCATTAATAGTATGAAACCATTCGTAAAATTTTCGAAAAATTTACAATTAAAAAGTACCTACTTTAAACTAATATTTCGCATCTATTTAAAAAAATGAATAATTAAAAAAATATAAATAACTTGTAGGAATAACATGTTATGAAATATATATATATATATATATATATATATATATATATATATCAATAATACTATATTCCATACCTACTTTTCTTAAAAAAAAATCTGTTCAATTAAATAAAAAAAAATGTATATATTATATATATATATATATAATATATACATATATTATATATATATATAATATATACATATATTATATATATATATATATATATATATATATATATATATATATATATATATATTTGATTTAAGAGTACACCAAAGAACATTTGTTGTGAACACAAGCTATTAAATATCACCTTCAATATGTTTACAGATTATGTTAAAGTTAAACAAAAGAATACAACTTAATTGAACATTATTGTCCATAAACAATTCGAGCTGATGCTAAATAAATACTGTCAACAATTTAATCACTCCTTTTGTTTTAAATCCATTGAGTATAATAACGTGAACAATTTTCATATTCACTGAAATATATAATTTTTATTCCAAACACAACCTTATTTCTCTTAAAATAAAGCATAGTGAGTAGTTTTTGAAGTGTATATACAAAATTTGAGCGTTTGCAAAGTAAAATTGATTTGAACAGTTGTAATTTTTTTTTAATATTGACACTTTTTAGATATAAATAGAGGATTTTTCAAAATTGTTATGTGTATAGTATATACCGCTTGGTCTTTCATATGACCAGCACAATGTTGCACTTCGCATTGATACTCCTTGTTGCACAGGTAAGAGTGAGTTTTATTTCTAATGTCTTTTTTGTATATTTTTATGTTTTTTTTTGCGTTTGATTGATGTATGTAATTAGCTTTCGACGTCCATAATTAAAAAAAAAAAAAAAACAAAAAATATACTTAATATTAAAAAAATCCTACGAGTTAAAAAAAGTATTTCGATTAAAATGACATAAATTAAACTTGATTTTATTGCAATCATTATTGTGATGATATTATTTATACAAAAATATATATATTTTTTGTAGGGAATTCTGAGATGATAATCAACTATCATAAAGGGTTAAGTGGCACTTAAACACTTAAAAACTTTTTTTATATAGTTTATTTAATTTTGAATTCTTACTGAAAATTCATCAAATCAAAATAAAAATGAACGATAAAACCTAGAAATAACGTAGCTACAAATCGTGAACAATTTTTAAAATAGGTTCACTTGTTTTATTTCACTAGCACTAGTACATTAATTTATATACCTACTAAATATAATAATTGTATAGTATCATCACTACATATTATAAAATACAGTCCCCCACCGCGTCTGTGTGTCTGTTTGAACGCGATAAACTCAAAAACTACTAAAGGTATTTTTATACGGTTTTCAGCAATAGATGGAATGTTTCATGAGGAACGTATAGGTGTATATAATTATAAGATTTTGTGTACATAAATTGGTTGAAATATGACCATGATTGTTAAAGATGTCGCAAAAAATCATGTCGTTAAAGAGCTTTATTGTTTTGCGACGCGTAAAGTGTATTATAAAGTTATGTGAAAACAAACAACAAAACAATTATTCCTCTTAAAAAGATCTTCCTATTAAACAATAGCAACGCTATGTGCACGTACATGGGTACGTACTCCCGCGCAAGTCTCTAATTTTATATAAATAAATACGATATTTTATATTCTATTCTAAAATCTCTTCTGTAATCATTCCGTTGGATTCCATTAGCGAGATTTATGTGCTTATCTAGATAGCACTCGATACGCATTTACGAGCAGATTTACATGAGAATATGTTCGGGATGACAACTTCGTGTACGAATCTCGCTGTATATTGAAACGCGTTGTGGAACTGACGGCCGCTTCAGGGGATAGGGTGACATTGTTAACGTAGGGATATTTATAAATACAGGTTTGGGTTTTACTTTAGGATATATCATTTTTAAACGAAAATGTGATTATTATTGTGAATTATTTGTAGCTGTACCGGTTTTTTATAAATAAATTGAAAATTCAATGAAGAAAATGTATATCACCTTTCCTGATTAATGTGGACTTAATATACTTTATTTAAGTACTCACAATTAAATGAACTTATCCTTAGAAACATAAAATCATTTTTAATAGTATCACTTTAAATATCATTCAATCAATTTTAATATAACTACATAAAAATAAAAATAATTTTTTTTAATAAATAGGTTACATTACATATCCACTAAAAACAAAAATAATGGTAAATCCCAAGACTATCACTATCAACACTAAATTCTGAATATTTTTGACGCTCAAATATTTATGATCTAGATTAAAAGAAAATTATCGTGAATTTGCATTTATAATGTATTTTAAAAATAAATGTCTTACACATTTCAAATTTTTCAATGAGCTAATATAGAATTAAAATCACAGATTCAGAGTACTATATCTGTGATTAGTGTTTTATATTCAGAGGAAACAAAGTCAAGGCATTTTAATATTATTAGAAATACTTGTACTTGAAAAAGCCTTATGATTTATAATATAACCTTTATTAATTATAGTATTACGATATGCTATTACAGGATTAATGTAAAATTTACAAATCTTTATATTCGTGTTTTGTATATAATATTAGCGGATCAAAAAAAATGTAGTCCACAAAACATACATCGTACATCGTACAAACAATAACACGATTACCTGAAAATTGTCTCTCAAAATCCCAATCCGAAGCACGAATAGTTTCCAAACAGATACAAATCGCGCGGGAATTCGTCTGTCAAGAGCCCTTGTTAGTTGTTCCGATTGGTTATCTGTGGTTAGCCGCCATCTTGTTTGTTCGAATTTTGATTTAACCGCGCGACTCGCTGTCAGATTAATGAGCCATTTTGCTTTTGGATTGTACAATTATTTTGGTGTGATATAAGTTCTTTTTTTATTTATTTTTGTATATACTTTTCGCACTAACACGTAATTGCTTTGAGATAATTTCTATAAAATATAGATATTCTTAAAGGTATTTCTCGATGTATATTATATTAACAATAGAAAATAATATTTTTGCCATTAGAAATTATTTAACTTATTATTTGAAAATTTTGAATTAAATAACAATATAAATGCTAATAAATATGTACGTAATATATTATTTTAAAACAGCTGCAAAGATTTTACATTTAACCATTATCTTATTTCGGTTGGCACGAAAGCTTTGTAGAGTGCACGCTTAGCGAGCGTTTGGCGTGTAATGTTATTGTTTCAAAAGACTCTTTTGAACTTCAAGACATGCATTTTCAAATCCATATACTCGCATACAACTTTAATAATCAAGCTCTAAAGGAAACGGAAATCTTATGTTACTCTTTCTGTAAGAGACAAGTCAACAAATGGAAATACTAAATGTTGAACTGAATGCTGAAAACTTTTTACGTTTAGTTTTGGTTTTGGTACACTTGATTTTCTAAATGTGAAGCTTTATATTTTATTTAAGCTAAAAAAATACATTGTTAAAATATTATTTTTAATACAATATGAAACTAATAAAAAAATATATACTTATATATTTTCTCGAAAATTCAAAAATATGTATTTATTTCTGGGTCATAAAGCCTTAACACTAACTAAACATTATATTTTATTAGCTCTAATTATAACAAAATCTGACTTATTTGAAAAAAACACGTTTGTTACTATAAAAACCGTGGCTTTTCAAATAAGCCTTTAAAAAGTACAAAAATAAGTGTGATGATCAAAGTATCATTGATCCTTCGGAGGAGCTGACTTTTAAGCGATTTTAAAATGGTGAATATATATTCAAGTCGGTTGTATTTTGTGTGTGTATGTAACGTGATATTTAAGCCAATTTCAAACCGAGTCAATTATTTTTTTAATAAATAGATTTACATATGAAATGTTATTACTACCATTAATAGTAGAATTACTTGTGAGAGATTTTGTAGCTGATGTACTTTTTTAAAAAAAAGTTATTATGAACCACTTACTTTGATTAGATAGCGGTCCGCATAGACCTCCGTTCATCCGTTTGAGGGACCAGTAGACCTAGATATAGGCATCAGTCTTTTGTTTAAAATGTCGTTAAGTGCTTATAATCTAATTACTATGTATTATAAAGGCGCCAGTTTGTATGTTTGTTACTTTTCTACGCTAAAACAGCTGGACCGATTTGGAGAAAATTTAGTCCAAAAATAGGCAATGACATAGAGTTATAAATAGGCTATTATATAGACTATAGGCACCTAAGGAAGCTGGATTTGTTAGCAATTAAATTTATTCATGCTATTTGTTATACTTCTTCGAACAGAGCGCTTTCGCCCTCCCATCGGTTGGCGTCAACTTTTACAACATCGACCCAAATAAACCATTCAAAGACAATGGACAACTCGTTTCCAGGTAAGTTTACTGATTCTTATTTTACCTCAAAATTTAATTAATATTTTAAGAATTTATTTTTTAAACATCAGATAAAAGTTATTTATATCCCGGGAAAATGTACGGTTCTCTTGTGATAGATTTATTTTTGTTTTTCACTAAGGACGAATACTAGTAATATTAATTATTATAGCAGTATAAAACTTATTTCAGTATGTGTATTCATTATTAATACTTCCATACTAATATTATAATTAATATGAAAGTGTGTTTGTTTGTCCTTCTTTCACATCCAGAGTGATGGATTAGCGTGATTTTTTGTGTGGAGATAGTTGGAAGGCTGGAGAGTGATATAGTCTATTTTTTATCGCAGGAGATTGTCTCATTCTCACGGAAAAACACGTTATAATACAACCCAAAAAATTATTTATGATCAGAGTTACTTGAAACTTGGTATTAATGCTCTTTGCAATGCGAGCATTTGTTACAATATGTCCATTTGGATACTACCCAATTATTAGAAATTATAAACTATCACTTTAATTGAATTCATAAAATATGTAGATGCAAAAGTTTTCATAAATAATAAACAAGTGGTGTTGGGGTTCTGAATTCTATTCTCGTGCAGGATAACTTTTACTGAAATCTGTACATTATATATATATATATATATGTATATATATGTATATATATATATTATGTATAGATATATTATTCGGTAAAGCAATGGCGAAATTACCGCGTACAAGACCGCTTTAGACATAACAATAAAGGCGGAAAGAGGAGAATGGAGTGCTCTCGTGTTGTTTCCGTTTTACTTATCCCATAAGAATGGAGTGTGGAGCAAAAATATTATATTTATCATATTTTATGACGGTTTCAAATCTAAGCATTTGAAACTAAATATTTTGTATTACTTATTCTTATTTAATTTCATAAATAATATATAAATATCCTTGGTTATGACTTATGATGATAACGATTAAATTGTCTGTATTAAATATATAATGCCTTTAAGACGTCTAAAACCTTAGTCTCTACCATTACCATGACTGCTGTAAAGTATTCGAAACGTCGGGAACCAAAAATCAAAACAAATCGCGAAAAAATCCGAAAGGTGTTTGCGTAACTGTAAATACCTAAAAAAAAATTATAAACGTTCATCTGCATTCCATTTTTATTTTTTCGTTCTTCGACGTGTGCAGGAATCGAACCTATTTTTACCACGCTCGTATTAGCTTCATCTCTAAGTTTGTAAGAAAATCTTGGCAGTTAATTTTAACCTACTAACGCGTATGTAGTATGCGTATGTAGTATGCGTATGCGTATGTAGTATGTGTGAGTAAGTATGTTTGACACTACTTTTCAATCAATGAAATTGCTGGACAAATTTTGATGGAGATAACCTGGAGTAATATATATAGTATAGGGTGTAAATTAAGTCATTAGTATGTCGGTTTTGGCGGTTGCAACCTAGTTTCCATTATTAAGAGTGGAAAATTTTATTTGTGTTTCAATGTTTTCCTATATATTTTCTATAGCTCTATAACCGATGGTGCCCTCCAGTACATCGATGGCGGTGATACCCCACTGTATGCACAGATCCTTATCCAAATCATCAATGACCTAGCTAACTCAGGCGACAAAGCTTCCCAGGCTACCGCCGTCTTGCAAACCATCGTATCTATCGGTGAACTCGCTAATGGATCCCCCGGTGACTCTTGCGAAGCAGCGGCGGTAAGTATCAATATATATCTATATATATTTAATAGTAGTATTCAGCCCTTTGTAATCTCATACCCACTGCTAGGTACGGGCCTCCCTTCAATACATGGGATCAGGCCATAGTCCACCAGGCTGGCCAAGTGTTGGGTTTCTTAACATTTTTTTGACTTTGACTTTAATTTCCTAGTTCCCAACTAGGTAATAGTAAAAAAAATAATTTTAATAAAGTTATAATTTTGAGCCACACTGTAATAAATGCTATATACATCAAAACGCAGTAAAATAATAAAGTCTGTCTTTAACTTGATTTGATAACGTAGTATGTCACTCTAATTTCTCCATTAGATAATATGGAGAAAAAAGAGAGATAATCATTCTTATTCCAGTTCATCAATGCTTCAGCATCAGGTAACATCGGAGAGATTCGTTCCACCCTTACTAGCTTTGCACAACGTATCATTAGCTACATGGATATTATCTCACAACTTGTCGTCAACCCTAACGCCGTTCGTTACAGTGTAAGTAACATAATTATATTACAACTGACGCTACCACATACAACTTTACAGGATCACCCGGGCTAATCTGAAGATTGCCTGAAAATTTCATCAAAACCGCTCCAGCTTTTTTGGAATTTATAGGTAACATACATACACATATCGATTTTTATATATATATGGATGATAACAATGTCTTCCAGATCAACTTCGGTCGCGGTAACCAATTTCATTGATTGATATCTGTGTAGGGTTAATCGATCAATTTATTCCCAAACTTATCTAAAAATCTTTAGAACGAAATAAATATCTCAAATAAACTGTTAAATTTTTAACTCGATCGAGAATCGATTCTAGATCGATTCGAGATCAATAGGTACTCTAACCATTGAACCGGACGTTATTATAATTTTTCTATACCTTTTCATTGAGCAAAATAGAGCATATACATAAAATTGTAACTAAGCTGAATTTGTACATTAAATAATTTTGGAAAATATTATTTCGGATGGAAAATATTAATAATGTTTATTTCATAAACATTATTATAGGCCGAATTTATAGTTTTTAAAATTTTCGTCCGTCTGTCTGTTACCGCGCATCACAGAAAAACTACTGGAGAGATTTTGTGAAATTAGGTATGGTGATAGCTGGTTATCCGGGTCAACATATACATAGGATACTTTTTACCGCGGGAAGATATTTCATTTTTGAGAAAAAATACAAAAACTGCAATATAAGAGTATACTAAGAATTTGGTTTTTGGTCATCTGAACGCGGGCGGAGCCGCGGGCAATGCTAGTTGTTATCTAAATGACTTGCAATCCCGTCCATCACTCGCACCCATTAATCAACCCTATTGTCTCATTGTTTAACTTCAACACTGAAATTGGTCTGTTATTGATATTAATGGAGTTTTCTCACGTATAATTGATTGAAAGTAACCATTGTAACACACGATACGGTTATCATGACTTTTTGTTTTAGAAATAGGTTCTTCGTTGCCTATTTATAGCCCACAATTGTGTAGGGAATTTATATTGGTAATATTTGAGGAGTTATCACTGTACTTTAAAAATGTACACTAAAAATGGAAAAATAAAAACATTTTTTTTTATAAAGAACCGACTTCCAAGGCCCTAAAATGTAAAAAATAACTAAACGGGGGTTTTCATTTAGAATAGATACCCAATCAGATATTTTCGAAGTAAATATAAACACCCACGGTTGGAGTACAAACATTCATGCTTATCACACAAATGAATGCCCCCAGCTGGACTTGAACCCACGACCGCTGGCACAGCAAGTAGGGTACGTACACTACAAACTGAACCAAAAGTTTCATCAAAAGTCGTTTCATAGCAAATAATTATCGTTATTGTTGTACATTTATTAAGTTTGAAACAGTTTGATATCAATAAAATTGATATAAAGCTATTAATGGTACTAAAGTTAAAGAAATTTGCTAACAGTATTTCTAAGAACGTTAATTAATTTTGAGGATAGTAAACAATATAAAAGTCATGTTTTGCTATATATAATGATTAAATGTCTTATAAGATTAAAACTGCCTCTATTCTACACTATCTATACAGATAAATAAAATTGAAGTGTCTGTTTGTAATGTCAAAATAACAGCTTTACCAAATGTATACGAAATTATATACGGTACTTATACGGAAAACTCATTTTTTTGTCTGTCTGTCTGTTTGTTTCGATCTTCGAAACGACTGGACTGATTTTGATGGTACTTTCACCGGCAGATAGATTGTCATAAGGAGTAACTTGGTTACTTTTATTTTATAAAAATAATTAGAGTTCCGCTCAAAAAACTTTAAATAAATATTTGTAATATAATATACTTATGTACTTATATTCTGATATTGGGGTTTCATCCCGATTAGATTGGATTTTACTTTTATTTTTTTTGTTTAATAACATAATATGTCTCTATAATTTATATACAGGCTGGTCCAAGAGGCAATTGTCTTGGTGGTGGAAGAAGCTACCGTTTCGAAGAGTTCTGGGACGTCATCCTTGGCAACGCTAACGCCTACCAAATTGAGTAAGATAATCACGTTCAAATTATAAAAAATAATTGGAGTTGTACATTTCAGATTTTTGAACGGGAGTGAAGAGGAAAAAGAGTTATAAGAGAATAGAGATGAGTCGGAGATAAATGGAGGCTATTGTCTAATATATTTATTATTCTCCTATATAGCATAAATTCTCCTTTTGAACCGAGTAGCCATGATGGCAACTAGTGATTTCACAAAAATGTATAATATGAAACGTATCCTATAGAATATAGATCTTACATATATTTTTATTTCGTTTTGTTTAGATAGATTGTTTTGAACTTACTTTTGGGGTTTGTGCAACAATAATTAAGTGATTTTAATTAATTTACATATACCGGGCATTTACTAAAATATTATACATTTTTTTATTTGCTATAAAACCTAATAAAATTAAACATTTTTCTTCGTCTGCACGATTAAAAGTATAGTTTTACTTAAAATATTAATTATTCAAACAAAATATCACCCTCCAGTCTCCTGAACGAGGAGTATTGCGCCGCTAGACGGCTCTACAACGCGTTCAACGTGCGCAGCAACAACCTCTCCGCCGCCATCACCGCCTCCGCCGGCCCGCATGCCTTGCAGCTCATGCACCACGCTATGGGACCAGTTGCACAGGTATTTAGTGTTGCTAGATCTACAGATAGATCCTGGATTTTTGATACCACACAAATTACGTTACTAAGCTCATTGCTGCTGTGGGGCAAATTGTGGAATGATCTTTCTAAGGTTTTCTCTCCGTCGCCGACCGCAAGCCTCGCAGCTCGCGCAGAACTCACTCAGACTTGCACAGGTATGTGTTTCCTCTAGAGGTAAGCGGTTCTTCAAGATCCACATACTTGACGTTTGGCACCTGTCTGTCATTTGTCTGTGCGTTTCTCGGTTTGTCTGTTTGTCTGTGCGTTTGTGCGCGCTAATCTCAGAAACGGCTTCACCGATTTGAGTGCGGTTCTTATTAATGTATTGTGGTAAGCTTCACTTAAAATTTGGTAATTGTTTTATAGCTATCGGTTTATAAATAAAAAAGTTATATCAATTTAAAGAATCGCCTATCGCTAGTCTTCTATACATATAATAAAAGTGTAACTGATCGCTGTCTTTACATAGAAGATATTTGAGAAAAACTATCATTGGGGGTCTTTATTTACGCAATAGAACACAAAACAATGATTTTTAGAATTTTTGTTTGTTTTTCTGTTTATCGGATTGTCTGTTTGTCTGTGCGTTTGTGCGCGCTAATCTCAGAAACGCCTAAACCGATTGAGATGCGTGTTCACTTATATATTGTGGTAAGCTTCCCTTAACATTTAGTATTTGTTTTATTTCAATCGGTTCATAAATAAAAAAAATACGTCAAATCAAAAAATCACCTAGGGATGAACCCGAGTGGAGCGAGGGTGAGTCGCTAGTTACTAATATTTTTAAATAAATATTAGCTAATATGCGCATCTCAAGTAATGCATTTACCAACAACCAAAATACTTTTCATTTTGGACCCCCTTACTATCTCTAAGTAAATTCCTTATACAGTTGCTATGGGCGATAAAACAAACTAATAAAAAAAATTGTTAATATAAAATCCATAAATAGGTATTATTATAAATAGTATTAAAAACATGACATCAGTAGGGGTAACACTTCACACAAGTTGTCTTTAATATTCTCACTAGAATCTCTAACATAAGTGTTTTGAATCGCAAGATGGGTACGTATCGAGTAAAATTATACGAGACCAAGTTATATGGTAATATGTACAAGTTAGTGGATTCAGATTACGCGATTAGATTGCTTGTTCGAGTTTGTCATTATTGTTATATATGTACTTGTTCTTTACTCCAACTTCGCTTGTAATATTTTTCCATTAAATCCTATGTCGCCTGTAATTGTTTGTCATATTCATGAAATACTAGGCATTGTGTATCATATTAAAAAAAAACCTTTCTTAGCCGATCCTTACACCCTATTTTTATATTCAGATTTTTTTTTAACGTCCCACTACTGGGGGTGGGCCTCCCTTCAATACGATGGGGTCAGGCCATAGTCCACCACGCTGGCCAAATGTGGGACGGACTGTACATGTCTTTCGAAAACTTGTAAACTACTTGTACTTACACCCTGTAAAGAGTCTTAATGTCAATTTCCATGGCTCTTTGTTAAAATTTCATTCCCCATTTTTACCCCCCGTTTTTCATCCTCAAAGGATAGGCCTAAGAATAAGAAATGTTGACATTTTTAATCAAAAATCTTATTTCTAATATTGGCCACTGGAACTTAGTTATTTTGAACTACGCGGACAGTGTCACGGACAAGTGCTAGTATTATAATATATATTAGTAGAATTAGTGGGAGTAATAAACTATAACAAAATTATGACAAAGTAATAATTTAAAGCTCAACTAACATATTAATATATATAGACAATTCAATATGAAAGTTTGTTTGTAGTCAAACCAAATTATCCATTCGATATAACGTCAGGGTTCATGCGCAAGTTACACGCTTCGGTGAGTTTTAATCTCCCAACAATCTTATTTAAAGTTCGATGAAGTATGGAATGTGGAATCTTAATTTGCGCTTTAAGTTAACTGTTTACACTAACGTTAACTTTCATCGCTATCGTAAATGAATTTAGTTACTAACTCAACTGTAAAGAGATCGAAAACTATCTGCAACTATTGCATTTTGTTATTTCTTTTTCCTTGCTTTATTGAATATGGATAGATAATTGAGAAAATATGCGATTTTAAATAAAGATTATTCTGATGATTAACCCTTTATAACTCAATAACATATTATTTAATAAAAAGTAGCCCTTAGTGTAGCAATTGGGAAATAAAAAAACACGTATTTTTTAATTTTCAAAAAATTTAATTTGTTACTCCACAAAATCAAAAAAAGGGGAGTGTGCCATAACTGGTACACTGCAGCAATATGTTCCTCTACGAAGTATGGAATGCTTTGAAACAGTTATTTTGTTTGTTATGGCATAATGCCACTCCACACTTTTCAAAAATGGTTTGTGATCTGCCAGAGCATTTAGGAAGCTTGCAATGGCTTTTCGACCCATACTGGCCAGTGACTGACTTGGTCTTGGCGAACAGCTGCCGGAGGCACAAATTGACCTGAACCCTTCTTGTCCTGGATATATGATTTAATGCTTCGACGTTGTATCTGAGTGTTTATACTATATCCCCATCTAATAAAGTATCGCACGAATCTCTTTACGAAAGTCAGCAGATAACAGCAGTAGTGCATTTGTATTCTTGGTCTTATGAACCCTTTGGTATAGGAACCAGGAATTGGTCATGGTAAGGTCCAGGAAATGGTAAAACATCTGAACCTATCATCTTTTGCTTCGTAGTTGTCACAACTGGCCTGATCTTATAGAGACGGTCGTGGTTCACATGATCGTGGAACCATTTTCGATTTGTCGTTGAAGTAAATAAATCGTATGATGTTTTCGATTTTGTTTACAGGCATTGTGTCTTTTATTATACGTGTTCCTTACCCCCCACTTCAATGTTTCGTTACTCTTGGAAGATGTACTAATGACATGAATGAAAACCAGACGAATAAATTGCTGGATATCAGTCCTTGTAACGCGAAATGGTATGATAGCATCTTTCTGCACAATGTAGAGACTAGTTTGGCTTGCAATTTCTTCAAAAAGTTCCCTGGATTTTTTTTAAATAAGAACTGTACCGGACTATAAAGTTTTAGAAACTCTGCTGGCAAATCTTCGTCGCCTGTAAAGCAGAGTTGCTGCTCATTTAGCTACAGATTTTTTTTTTCCAACGTAGATTCAATTGCTACTTGGCTTGACTACGTCCTGATGGTCTAGGTTTAAAGGATGGTCCTGGCTGAGGTAGGGTTTCAGAAGGAGCTGGTACTTGGGAAGTACTACTGGAGTTCTCAAGACTTTTAATAATGGTGACAATTTCCACTCCATCAACCTCTTCAAAATCATTGACTTCCATTGGTACTTCCAAGTCCAGAACAAATTCAGGATCTGCGATGCTGTCGTCATCATCGTCGAATCTATCTTCACTCTTTCCATAATCAAAGAGGAACTGCTCTATTTCCTCTTCTCTTAGACCTCTAGAAGCCAGGATGTCAAAAGAATGAAAAAGTGCTCAATGTATGACACTAGGTACACCTAGTAACACAATGTTCCAGAACAGGTACAAACACAAAATGGCAATTATTTTCAAAAATTATGGAAAATTATTCAATAACTACAATGAATATCAATAAACATACACTTACCTAACTGATTTATACCACAACACACACACTTTTTACAGTATATATATTTTTCGTCGATTTTCAATATTTTAAAACAAATTTATTTCACGTCACCGGGAATCAGACGGATTCACACTCGTTTGTGTTGAAAAAGCACCATCTCTGGAGTATGAACTGTACTAATTATTAAAACGCGGTTAGTTCCGGAGTGGGCACTCTGTTTTATAAGTGAAAAAGTCATTTTCTTTAGATTTTATAAGGAATAATTTGGTATGTTCCAGTAATGTCCCACGGTGATATAAAGGGTTAATAAACAGATTGACTGACCTAAAGTAATATATAGGCTACTCTTAGTGATAAAATTTACCAAACGGCGCTGCCTGTTTATCCCATCCCATTAATATTATAAATGCTATTGTTTGGATGGATGGATGTTTGTTATTCAATTACGCCAGAACGGCTGAACGGAGCTGGATGAAATTTGACACAGAGATAGATTATAGTCTGGAATAGCACATAGATTATTTTTTATTCCGGAAAAAGGAACGTTGTGAAAAAAGCGTCGAACCCGAGCGAAGCGAGGGTGAGTCGCTAGTAATATTATAAATACAAAAAGTACCTACAGACGTATCAGAAAAAGTCACTAGTAAAAGATAAGAAAATGGTAATATTTTATAATCTAGCATTTTACAGCTATGAAAAATTAAACCTCAAATTTTTCAATAAAAAAAAAATTAAATTGAAATGCGTCCCGGCTCTTAAAGTATTGTACAATTTGATATTGAAAAGGTTTTTCATTAATAAGTATATCATTATTAGTTATAATTAACCTAATATATTCTTTCACAGTTCTTACAAGTTGTCGCAAGTGGAAAAGATCCAACTCAAGCCGGGGTAGTCGCCAAGAACGCTCTCATGCAAGCCCTATCCAAAGTTCAATACTGAACAAACATACACTCATTAATATAATATTATATATATCGAATAACAGAAACAAAAATAGCTTGACCCGGGACTATAATATAATCTCGACTATCTATATATCTTTATATATTGGTTATAGCATATCAAGGCGAATTAAAAACGTCACTCAGCAATAGATGGATTTCTTTTTTTATGTAAATATAATGTTTTAAAACACAACACGACATGGCTTTTATTTTGGTACCACGATGTGTTACTTAATATTAATAAAGATGTATTCAAAATCCTAATGGTGTTTCATTTTTACAATATTATAATGCTATCTTGTTTGAAGTTTATTTACTAATATATTTTAACTAGCTACTCACCCTCGCTCCGCTCGAGTTCGTCCCTAGTTACGTTTTAAGGTTTAGTATAGATTTCTCAGAAATGAGATAATTTCCCGCAGTAAAAAGTATCCTATATGTTGACTCGGATAACCAGGTATCATCATACCAAATTTCATCAAAATCTGTCCAGTGGTTTTCTTGTGATGAGTTCCCAGACATACAAGACAGATAGACCTCAAAGGACCACTTTGTATTTTAAAGTCAAATCGTCGCCTTAGTGCTTGTATGTACAAACTAACAATACTTGTTGTAATTTAGAGTACAGAGTTTTTTTAGTGGCTTAGAGTTGGGTTAACAAATAAAAACTTAAAAAAAAACCAACTTCCAGGCACTAAAATGTAAAAAATAACTTAACGGAGGTTTTCATTTAGAATAGATGCAAAGCAAATCTAATATATTTCGACACGTAAAATACATATTTATCTATGAGATATTCATATCTTAAAATATTGTCGGCTGGCACCGACATCGAAAATATCTGAGTAGGTATCTATTCTAAATGAAAACCCCCGTTTAGTTATTTTTAACATTTTAGTGCCTGGAAGTCGGTTTTTTTAAGTTTCTATTTTCTAATTTTTAGTGTAAACGTAATAAGCAGATAATTTGTAAGAAAAAAGTTTTTTAATAACATATTCGATCAAACAATTTATTTAAAAATATATATTTATTGTTGATTTTTTTAAAAACCGCTCGACCGATTTCCATGAATTTATATGGGACTGACCGAAATGACCCGGGAAGTACCCTTTGAACCAAAAAAAAATCGGTTCAGGCGTCTTCGAGTAATCGGTGAACATACATAAAAAAAAAGATTCCGGCGAATTGAGAACCTCCTCCTTTTTGGAAGTCGGTTAATTACAATACATTATGCACGCGTATTGTGAGGAAGACAGACATGACTCGGAGCGGTAATTTTGAAATGTAGCAGTTTTAACGACTAAAGAAAGTTTTTTTGCTTTATATACAGATAACATACATATTTTTCGCTTACATTTTATATAGAATTGACATTTAAACGTCAATAATTCTGTATTAAAAACTCTTTCTGTAAATTGGTCGTTTAGACAAATAGGCACTGTGACGACGATATTCTACCATCAAGGATGAAAAAAAAAACTTTTATTAATTATTTGAATGATATTTTGTTATACCTCTAGGTCTCTAGACTAAGAAATAATATAGCCAGAGTGTCGTAAGAACTAAACATGAAGCCAAAACATTATGTTTCAAAATATTATAGAAAGTTTAAAAATATTATAGAAATATTAATAGAATACACATCACTGTGTGTATATTTTTGTTCATTATTATTCATATTTTTTGGTCAAAAATTGTAAATTGATGACAATTATTAATAAAACACCTCTAAAAAATTTCCTTCATTCTATGAATAAAGTAAACGATCTGTATGGAAAATTCGAGAAAATTTGCATAAACGGCCAAATCACGCTACTATTATTGAATTTGACATTTTTTTGCGAACTCCATGTAAAAAATTCTTCAGTCTGTTTGTTTGATTGGTTATTATATTTCTGTTAATCGCGCGCCTCATTAATTTTGTGGACAAAACCAGAGCAGATACTTAGTAATTTATAAAAAATCTTCATTTACTTATTATTTTAACATGATAAAGTGTTTCATCAAAGCTCAAGTAAATCGAGATGCAAACTTAAGAGAATGAAAGAGCGTCATAATACCAGCTTAGAATTTACTTCAAGTATCATTATACTTTAAATACTTGTTATATAAAACATGTTCTTAATGAAATTTGTTTCCTTCTCCGTATAAACGTTGTTTTAACTTTTAAAATTTCTTTTTCTTTGTTTATATAATGATTATACCTACCCCGGTTTCGTCTGGGCCAATGTTCTTACCATTTTGGTCCCTTACAGTGTAGAATTCGATACATATAATAAAATTCTGAGTTCAATCTGTACATTAAAAATATTTTTTGGAAAATCTTATTGAAATAGTCATTATTATCGATACAGAGGCCGATCTATAGTTTTTAGAATTTTTGTCTGTCTGTTGGACTGTCTGGGAACGCATTACGAGAAAACCACTGGACAGATTTGATGAAAATATATAATGATTTGATCAAAATAAATACTTTTTATAGCAAACATTGCTACCCTTAGACAGTTTTTTTAGTGATTAAAAAAAAGGTTTATTTAAGTTACTAAGATTATAAGGAAAGAAAGTGTCAAAAATTTATCATTTTAGGTCCAGCAGCGGTTTGCTTTTTTATTTTTTCACCTTTTCTTTTGACTATTATAAAGAAGTGTAAACAATTTATTGTATGCATCCATTCAGTAGTTACATACATAAGCAAAATAAAAATTCGCTTCACAAATTAAGCATACGTAGCCAAAATATCCACAGATGTTCCAAACAAATGTAAATTCAGTCGACGTGAGATCGCAATGCGGCATTGCACTTGTTTTTCCATATTTATTTTTTCTTTTACAGTTAACAAAGCCGTGTAAAATGTATGAGTAAAGGGTAATATATTCGCTTGTAAAAATATTTTTAAAGCCTTGTTTAGTAGAAATGGTTATTTTAGTATATTATATAAGTATGATATATATTTATTTATTTAACTTTAGTTACGGTATAAGTTTTCGATTGTAGTATAAAATATACCGAATACCGATATATGTAGATATCTATACTAGCGATTTATTTTCGCTTCGCTCGGGTGCGTCCCTAAGCTTGAACTTTTTTCACCAAGAACCTTCGCAAGTGTATACAGAATAACACACCAAAGTTTCATCACAATCTGATCAATAGTTTAGGAACGTGTAGAGGACAAACATTTTGTTTATATAAACAATGACATAACAGTTCAGTACCTTGTTTCCTCTGTTTGTCAATCGATTTTCTTTAATTTGTTTAGTAGCTATTGACAAGCTTTAGTGTTATCGATAAAAAAATATATAAGTAAAGATGGCCATATATTTTTGAGTAGGTCTGTGTAGTTTTATCTTTACAGTTACATTGCGTTTGTAAAACCGATAAATGATTGATCCACAACTTATTTAGTACATGTCAGCTACAAATGATTCAAGATTTTTTTTCAATTTAAATAGAATATAGGTAATTTAATCTATTACATGTATACTAAAATATTACAATAATGTTATGAAATTTACACGATCAAACATATAAATAAAAAAAAAAAATTAAAAAAAAACTTCTTCCATATATTCTCAATGTATCTTTCTTACATAATATGTTAAACATAAAAAAATCAACTTTATAATATGACCTCCAGACCGATTTTAGTGACGGTAGCCAATCTCACTGAGACTAGCCAACCTTGTATGAGAGACATATCATATACATTGTACATATATAGGGCATGAGTAGGTATGTGTTCAAACACAACCTGAAGCCTTTATTCCTTTTACTCTAAAGGTCTAGTTTAGTCTGATGGGACGACAATACGACATGAAAAGATACGAGATGCAGGATCGACAGCTTTACGTGTTCCTCGAAGCACACGTATGTAACCCTGCAACACCGCCAACTTTCCTATTCTGGACTGCTACTGAGATTTTCTTGACAGAAGAACACAGTTGCTATACAGCTCGCATTGAGACTCGAACCCAAGGCCTCCAGATCTACCGCCATACATGCCACTACACCAACGTGACAGTCGAGAATCTATTAGAATAATTATATGAACATTAAACACTAAATCTAGCTTTAGTTTTTAATTAATAAAAGAAAATAAGAATGTTTTCACAGACCAATATATTTTCATTCTCTCTGACCTTCTAAGATATATGTGTTCGAGTTCAATGCGAGGAGTGTATCTTTCAACAGTCGAGTGCGGGCAATAAATCGCCTCTAACTATGAACTTCTTGTGCCAAGTGGCTTTATACGGTTAATCACGCTGCACGTTCTTCTGTAACACGTTACAAAAAGCGTATTCTATATTAGTTTTACTGAACAGTGGAAATACATAGTATATGTTAGTATGGATACGATTAGAATAAACTATTTCAATGAAATTTTTTTTGTATTCATTTTGCGTCATGGTTTTTTAAGCGGTCGATAATATTTCTTTTGAAATCATTATTGATTATTGAAAAGTATTATTGTGTCATATTAAGGTTAAAATATGAGTAAAAATTTGACTTATTGCTTAAATTTGGTATGAGATTGGATTGTAAGTACACACATACATTATTTTTTTAAGGAAAGCTATAATCATATTAAGAGGTATAGAATAGTGTCACTAGTTAAAATTTGTGGAGTACAGAGCACAAAGAAAGCTTTGTTATTAAGATGCTAAAATATGCTCTCGCAAACGCTTAGAAACTACAAATTGTAGAACCCGAAGTTGGTATAAATGGCACTATGTGAGGGAATTTAAATCAAAAAGCGTACGCAAAAGGCCGTGACGGAGTTTTAAAACTACCGTGAAAAATAAAGAGCAACAGCATTCTTGCACTTAGCTTCAGCCATGCACTTCCGCTGTTTGAGTAGTTCATATAAAATTTAGTACAGCCGGCGTTTTTAGAAAAAACTGGACGGAAATTACTTAAAAATTGCTATTAGCAATGCGACCTGCACTCGAGTTGAGATGAGAGTTCCTTTAGTAATAATTTAGGGTTTGAAAACGATGTACGGAGTGCATTAGACTAGTTAGCTTAGATCATATTTAATAACTAAAATACCAGTATTTTTGCAAAATAGTACCTATATCATAGAACTTCTCAATGTACTGAGATATAAAATAATTCTATGGATTTGGTCGATAGACTCTCTATGGAATATTTTTTTTAACTAAAAATTACTATCACTTTATTCTTTGTTACTTTGAAATTCAACCTTCAGAGGGTTTTTATTGAAATATTTGCAACGAAACTAATAAACCAACAAACACACTCAAATTTAATACATTCAACTTATAATAAAGCTTGATTTCCCATACAAACTTTCATCCCCATTATCAACCCCTTAAGGGATGATTACCGGGATAAAAAGTATCCAATGTCCTTCGGAGGGTCTCAAACTATCTTCTTACCAAATTTCATCTAAATCAGTTCAGTAGATCCCACTACAACCTCACAAACTTTACCTCTTTAAAATATTAGTATAGATTTTAAGCACAAAATAATACTTTTTTCATTATCAAATTTCAAATTATTAATAATGCAGTGGTAGGTAAGGTTTCAAAAGCTCTAAGTGTGACTTCCAACCGATGAAGCTCTGCTCGTTACATTACCCTTTCAGTAAACACAGAGAGCATATTTATTAATTAGAAGCGCTCAAAGCCGTCGACAGTAAAACTTGAATTATTTACATAATTTCAAGCGTACTTTTATTTAAAAATGAAATTTGTTTTAGAATTATGCAAATCAGAACAAAAGGTTAAATTATCATTTTTTCAGCGAGACCAAATGTTCCATATTTTAATTTAGACGGCTTGATGAAGGCTGAGAACTGAAAAAATTAAAGCATAAAGCTTCTTTACAATTATGTTGATTTAGAAAGTGATAACTAGCTTGATTTTTTTTGAAGAACTAGTATTAACTCTCGACTCTGCTTGAATGAATGTTGTTTGGTATTTGCGCTATTATTTATTATATTTTATGAAATGTAGCTGGCACCTGCGTTTTATACTTGGAGTTATAGAAATAATTATAATAAAAAATAATAAAATAAAATATGTATTTATATAATATTGTCCACAAAAATACTAAAATCGCGATAAAAAAGGGGGAGGAGGGAGGGTGGTGGTGGTGGGGGGGGTGTAATGGGAGTGTGAAAAATACTTCACGAACTATTCTTTTTTATATATTAGATAACATTTTATTGACAACATTAAAGCTCATCAATAGTTACAAAAAAAGTCGGTTGATAAACAAAGGAGAAAAGGTCTAAAACTGTGTTTTTTTGCTTATTTATGTATATGTAGATACCTTACAAATTACCCAATATCTACGACTAGTACGCTATATAATTAGTTTATTGTACTCGGAATCCAATGAAATTTCCCTACAATTGATTTATAATAAAATTATTTTTATGCAAAAAGCTTTTATTTTATAAATCGTTAAAACAGTGACGTAGCAAGTGGTAATCGAATTGAACTTTTTTTAGTACATTTCTAATAGCAGAGCCAATTTTAAAGGGTTGGTATTGAATTCTATTAATGAATTATTGTATGTTTTATTTTATAATATAAAATGAGCAAATCTTGTATATATGTCTATACATACATTTATTTCATGTACCTCGGAAACGGCTTTAACGATTTGGATCAAATTTTATATTTAGATAAGGTTTTGCTTTTAAGTTTATCTATATACATAGGTGTTTTTTCTGAAAAAAACGCAATTTTCATATCTTTTCCGAAAAACGACGAGCAAAGCTCGGTTACCTACTTGTACTTTATATGACTGCCATTAATAGTATTTAGTAGGTTTCAAACTCATATATTCATACTGTGATATACAAACAGACGATATGACCAAGTTATGAGAGTTCCATTTACGCTATTTGACTCCAGAATCCAAACAATAAAGAAAATATAATGATTACGTAAGGAAATAAACAATGACATCCATTTTAATTTAAATAAAACGTTTCATTAAAGCTGTGTTCTCTGTCGCAGAAAAACGAGCATATTTGGGCTAATTAAGTTAACCTTTATATAGCGGAGCGTGACGGTGATGACCACAGTGTGTCGTTGTATCACGTCCGCCTCTCAGCCATTTTACAGTTCACATTAATTTGTTTTAAATTTTAATTAATTTTCTTTGTTATTGTATCATATATTTGTAAGTCAACCTGTTTCTGAAAATATAAATAAATCTATACATATTATTATATGTATAGATTTATTTATATTTAATTTTATTAAATTGTAACTAAGCCGAATCTGTACATTAAATATTTTTTGGAAAATCTTATTGTAATAGACATTATTATCGATACAGAGGCTGAATCTATAGCTTTTAAAATTTTTGTCTTTCTATCTGTCTGTCACCGCATCACAGATAAACCACTGGAGGGATTTTGATGAAATTTGGTATGATGATAGCTCGTTATCCGGGTCAACATAAAGGATACTTTTTACCGCGGGAAAATATTTCATTTCTGAGAAAAAATACAAAAACTACAATGTAAGAGTATACTAATATGTAAAACCTAAGAATTTGGTTTTTGGTCACCTGAACGCGGGCGGAGCCGCGGGTAATGCTAGTAAATAATAAATAAATATGTTGGGACATTAACTCACATCACCATCTAGTTCCATGGTAAGCTACGAGGCGTGTGTTATGAATACCAGATAGTTGATACACTACGTAACACATATATAACTTTAAATACATACATATGATAAATATAAACATCCATGACTGGAATACAAACATTCGTGCTCATCACGCAAATGAATGCCCCCGGTGGCACTCGAACCCGAGACCGCTGGCACAACAAGTAGGGTCACTACAGACTGAGCCAAACGTGTCATCAAACGACACGTTTGTGACGTTTGTGATGAAAATGTGTTGACAGAGAGTTTAATCCAACGAATGTTTTTGGGATATCAAGGATATTGAATTCATATATTGAATATATTTACCTACATGCTAAAATAAAAGACGAAGAAAAGAAAGAATAAAGTAGTAGAATCGGTAAAGCTAGTCTCGTAAAGTTGTAAATAAAATTATTAGGGACGATATTCACTATTAAAACTGTTGATAACATGAACTAGTAAAGCTTACAAAAAAGAGAACTTTTGGCCCATTTCTCTTGCAAAATAATAAAATGAATGTATAATTTTGGACAAACTGCAAGTACATGAGGTAGCGAGAACACATACACGTCTGCATTTTACATTGTGCTCTAAATAAAAGTACAATAGAATGGAAATTTATACTAAGAAATGTGGCGCACTGTGATGTTTCAGGTTTTAGAGAGCCGCAATCAAATTGTAAGAACAGCTGTTTAGAATTTATATATGTTTTTTTTTGTTAAATTTCATTTACGTAGAAGAAATATTTAGAAGTTGTTACTGGTTCCATTATCTTATTTTCTTAGATTAGCTTTATTGTACCATTTTACTGTAATGGCACTAAAATGACATGTATGTTTAAGTGTTTTCTAGAAATCCTTGGCAGATATAAAATCGGTCAGATATTACTAAATTAATTTTAATAGCATAGTAATTCATCGTTTTTATAGTTTAAAATTGATACTTAGTGGACGGGATGAGATAGGGCGAAAATTATTTGGACCAGAAATCTTCGCGGGCGTACGCAGAAAATTTCGTCAAAATTTCAACCCAATCGGTTTAGGAACGCATGACTGTTTGTATATATGTAATCTGTATCTATAAGTGTAATAATCTGTAAGTATAATAAAATATATCTAGAACCATATCTTTTGTAAATGCCACCCTCTTGACTGATTTTATACTGTTTGTTTGTCTGTCGAGGCTCGCTGGATTCTTCGGAGCGTGTGAACCATCTATTGTTTTCAGTTTAAAATATAAAAACGCAAAGTTTTGTTCTAGTACATTTATTTTTCAGTTTGCGGAAGTTTGTAAAATATATAGGTTAAAATAATAGTTTTAAACGAATCGTGGCATTTTGCACGACAATGTTGCTTTTAATTTTTCTCCATTCTCTTCAGTATAATGGAATAAACGTTGCGA